TTTCTCGGTTCGTCATAAAAGCCTCCACCACCATCCATTTCATCCCTTGGCCCTTTTGTGTACGGATAATCCCTGCAGGAATTATTATATATCATAAATTCCTGCCTTTCTTTTATCCTCTATTAAATTCCTGGGAACTTAAAACCCCCTGTTCTACAGGCCCCAGTTTGTCAAGAGTACCCCTGTTACCCAGGGCTTGACTTTAGAGGGCACCTTAAACACCCCTGCTTGCATTCCTCTCTGTGTTTTCCTACCTTTTTGCCCATTTTTGACGCTTTTCTTACTATAAAAATACCTAAAACTCCTCTAAAAAAAAATTATAAAAACATTCTAAATCACAAAATAATAGCTTTTATTATTATTTTTTTCTAGGAATTTTTGTGGCCCATGTAGCTAGAGGAATATTGTTCCTGGCAACAAGGTGTAGCTCACAAAAGGAGCCTACAATAGTTCTTGAGGTGGTGGCAACAAAAAACCAATGGATATGGCATTCTTTTTTTTGGCACACCTGGAAGAAACAATGATCTCAACACCTGGACTGTTTGCCTCTCTTTGATGATCTCCTAATTGGAAAATCACCAATGGTAAATTTTCCCTCAAGCTAGGGTACTACTTATGTGACGGCATCTACCCCAACTGGTCTACTTTTATCAAATCAATCCCCAACGCATCTGACCTAGCTACCAAGCATTTCAACACGGCACAAGAAGCGGTATGAGAAGACATCAAACGAGCTTCTTCTGGCTTGCAGAGTAAATGGCACATCTTGCAACGACTCCAATGTGTTTATGGAATGAACACACAACATCAAGAACATTGTCTTGTGTTGTATCATCTTACACAATATGATGGTCGAAGAAGGACAATCATTATTTCTCTCGAATCCATCCCCCATGGCAAGTGGTTCTGTTACTCCTGTGGTCCCTTCAACTGGATTGAACCATTTCGAAATGTGACGCCAAGTTACCAATCAAATATATCCTGAGCGGATTCACCGACAACCCACCAAGTCTCTCATTCAACATCAGTGGAAGAACCGGGCAAGAGAAGATGATTAATTATGTTTCATTACTTCTTCTCTCATTCTTATAATTATTCAAATTGGCAGCGAGTTGTTTTTTTTTTTTCTTTTTTTTTCTGCGTGCAGGTTTCTTTGTATTTTTTTAAAAAAAAAATTGTTCTACTTGTTATCCCAAAAAAATTGCTCAACTCATTATATATTTCATGCAATTTTTTCTTTTTTACTTGTTATCCCAAAAATTTTGCTCAGAGTTGTGTATGGAGATATTCATTTCACGCTAAGTTGTGTATAGAGCCAAACTTGACAATCACATTTTAGATTGGGAAACTACAACAAGTTGGGATGAATCAAGCCTTCCATATCGGGCGAGATTGGAGGTTGCTGATCATAGCTCTCTGAGTCAGATTTGTCCTCGCTGTCAGACTTGTTTTCATTATCAATGTCTTGGCTGTCTGGATAAGGCTTGGTTTGATTAAAGGTGATTTTGGGTAGAGTTGACTCGTTGTCATCATCATTTGAAGCTTGATGACTTCCTTCACTGCCTCTGTTGTTCATCAGTCGGTCGCAAGTGTCTTCTAGTTCCAAGAGGATTCTCTTTTTTGCATGGATGTAAAAGTTGCCTTCAAATCCATCAACACATGTCGATATATCTTGTTGCAAAATGTTCATGTTGATTAACTGCATCTGGATTGTGTTTGCGCAAGCCATTTCTTCCAAGCGCTTCCGATTCATCTCGGGATCATCTTTCACCAATGCTTCCATAAGTTTCAATTTTTTTGCCTTTAGTTTCGTGTGACTCAACACCTGCCTGGCAGCCTTGACTCCTCCAGGTCGAGTTTCTGATGTGCCGGGGTCATCTGAGTCAGAGGTGGAGGTGGCCGGCGGGGGTGTGTTAGTAGCAGGATAATCACTACCAATGTTATTGGCTGGGGACCCTGGTTGATTGGTTCGTATGAATGAGGGGGCGGGGGACTGGTTTTCGATTTTGGCCAGTCACGTAATTCCATCTATGCTCGCTCAAATGTGAACAATTTGCCAGTCTGATTGTGGAACAAAGTTTTGGCTTGATTGAGCCAGTCTAGGGGCTTGCTTCCGGAGGGGGGATTGCGCTCGATTGAAGAGTATATTTCACAAAATTTTGTAACTGCTAATCGTAGATGTGCCCATCTATAGGTTAAGTGGTTAGAATCCAAAATAAAATGCCTCAAATAAATTATAAAAGGGTGACTAACCCGTGCTTTAGGCTGTTACCAGCACGTTCGCTCCCGGAAGTATGTTCGTTAAAATGTTCCGCTGCCTTGTTCCAAAAATTCTCACGCTTCGTGGAGTTAGGATTCGTTGAGGTAAAGAGCCAGCTTCGTGCCAGTTGAGCATCCTCCTCGTCGAGCCAATTCGAACCTTGTGCCATTACAAATGATCGGAGGGGGTTGTTTGCGGTGTTTGAGGAGGGAAAGGGTCGTATGAACCACAGGGATATGCTGAAAATACTTGGGATATATCTGTTGCTAAATTTAGCTTTACAGGTGATGCGGATGAGTTTTGAATATTCAAATAGTGTTTAGGCGTCGAATAGCGGAACAAGTTATTTTTCTTAGCAAGCGCGGGGTGTCTAGCGACACCAATGTGGGAAGAAATTTAGCGACTAAATATGGCATGTAAGCGACTTATAGCGAAACCGATGCTGATGCTCTAATCCGCGCCAACTTAGCCACCGATGCGGATGCCCTCAGGGGGCCTCCATGGAAGTTGACGCCCCTGTTCATGGGGGGGTCAATATTTGATGACCCCTTGTGCAGGGGCGTCAACTTTGATACAGGCCAAAGTGGGGCGTGGATGCGTCCATTTAGAGTCTAGCGCGACCTTCAATTTACCTCTTGCGAGCGAGCCAATGGCGAACTTCTTCCCATCGACAACTTTCGTCAACATTTAAGAGAACATCCTCATCAACCAATATCGACAGCAGTATCTCAACGAATCATCATCATCACAATCCTTCCCCCAAATCAATCATATCTATCACACTTCACCTACCCATACCTCCTCAACCAATCTCGTGTCACCCAAGAAATCCTCCAATTCAGCCATCAACAGTCTCTTCTCTGCCAACACCTCTGCACGTGACGTCGCATACAATCACAAAACTCACACAAAATGACCAAATCCTTGGACGCATTTGAGCATTCTATCCGAAATGGGACCTCTCAGGTAGATGGGAAGGGGGCGATTCCTGAGTTTTAATATGGAGGGAGCAAGGATAGATTGCCACGAAATTCATGTTATCAATCCACACGCTAATGTTACAAGGGCCTACAAGGGTTGGGTGCACGAATCGTGGAAAATCAGAGCACGACAGACGTCTATTCAAAGGCACATAAATACACGGTGGAGAAATGGGAGATGGAAATGCGGATGAGCAGAGAGAAAGAACGGTCAAGACAGGTAGATCCTTAGGTTCTTGACTTGGTTTTCTTAGCTCCTTCAGCGTCGACGTTGGGGTTAGCTCCTCCGGCAGCTCCGTCTTTAGCGTCGGAAGCTGGCTTCTTCGGGCCGTCTCCAGCGGCATCAAGCTTGGCTCCGACGCCTCCTGTCGCATCCGACTTGCCGCCTGGTGGGGCTGCGGCTCCGTTAGCCTCTGGGAGACTCGCGACGAACCATTTGTACAAGTCCCTCACGGTCTTGCCTCCGGCTGGTGGGGGCGCACTTGAAGACTTGTTTATAGGTTGGGCGTCCTTGGGGGCTGGTTGAGGGGGTTTACCGCGATCCTCGGCCTGCATCTTCTTGAGGAGGTGGATCATGATTTGGGCAGTTTGGGGATTCAAGGGCGCGAAGGTTCCGATCTTCTTGGCTTCGGCTTCGAACCTCTTCGTGATCTCGAGTGCCTTGGTTTTGCCGACTTTGCTGCTAGTGGGAGCCGATTTCGGCGAGATGGGTGACTTCCAAAACTCCCTGATCAGGCTCCTCACGTCTTCTTCTGTGATCTCACCGCCCACCAATGGGTTCTTGTACTCGCCTAGTGTCTGGACTTCATTTACGTTGGGAGATCCGCCGACAGATTCAAGGCCGGGATAGCGTCTTTGGAGGCTGCCGATGGTTCCAGATGGAGTAGTCAGGGCGTTCGACGCCATCACGCTGCATAACACCATGCTGAAGAAGTTCATGCTGAAGCAGTTCATACTGAATAATGCGGCTCGAGTCGAACGGGAGTTGATAGTGTCTATGCGAGAAATCTAATGAATATGTACACAGGTGAAAAGAAGTTGGAGAGAGAACAATGAGACTTTGAATGGGAAAGGGAAGAATGGATTGGATGGGAAGGTTTCTGAGCGGAAAGAAATGTATTTATACGAAAAGCGGATGACTGATGAGTGCTCTGGCAAGGATTGTTACTAGCCCAAGGCAGAGAGAGAGAGGTGACGATGGGCCGAAAAGGCGTGACTATAGGAGAAGACCCCAGCGATGGTTGGAGGAACTTTGCCAGCAGGGTAGGAGCCGCGGCCCCAGCCATGGTAGCAGACAGGGTTGACTGTAACATTGGACATGGCTCCTTCATAAACACGGCGTGGCAATCAATATTCTTACGCCATCATCATCATTCAAAAATAAAAAATGCTTGCCATCTATCTACACGATCTTCGACTAGCTTCGCCAAGTTGAACCGAACAAAACAAAAAATGGACCCTGTCTGGTGTGACTCGGGTTCAAAAAGTGGTCAATATGGGGGTCGAACCCATGACATCCGCATATCAAGCTGTGCAGCTATTAGTACGGCGCTCTAACCAACTGAGCTAATCGACCGCCGGATACCGGATATTGGAAACCCATTATTTTTGTGTATATAACCCCTCCTGATTACGGTATGTTCGGAGAATGATTTCCACGTTCAATACTGTTTTTTTTCGTTCGAGCTGCACTTATGTCGCATGTTAAGTGGAAGCCAAAGGAAGTCATTCCAGCACACATATTTAGTTACCTTGAAAGATTTCAAGCTGCAAATAACTAGCTAAATATTAGATTATTTGGTGACTTGCTATTATGAGTTAGAGATTCAATTATTATAGTGTCTTCCCAGGATTAGGCTGGCCATACCCGTGTCACAAGTAATAGCCGAGTCCAGCAATCATCAACCTTTCATCCTGCTGGGAGCATTGATATTAATTTACACGGAAAAGTGGACATAGCATCAATGCTGAATAAGAGATTATCTGTAAACTTCCTCCTAGCATGAATTAGCGGGGGTACGCAGAATAGAATTTATTCAGATTTTAATCGCCCTTGAAGTTTCTTCCAATCCACCTGATTTTCACACATACCACCAGCCTCTAGTTGATCTCAGAAGAACACAGGAGAAAAGATAAAACCAAGCTTCCTTTTGTTTTTTTAGCTTATGGCATTCAGGCTCAGCTTGCTGCTACACCTTGGACCACTTCCAAATGAAATTATATGTATGTAGCTTGAATCCCACCACTCAAGGGTTGTTTCATTTTTGGTATGTCTCTTTTCTGGTCAAATGGGGGCCCTTTTACTTGCCCTACTTTCAGTATACAAATGGTGATTTAATGCTACTTTCTTGCTGCCATTTTTCCCTCCAAAAAAATCTTCTCAGTATTATTTTCAAATCTACACCTCGCCTCTCCTTCCCTTCTCCTTCAATAATATAATCCACATATATCTTTCCTTTTAATGAATATTGATCAGTATCTGTTGATGCAAAAAATTTGGGGCCTTATAATTAAGAGAACTCTTACCAACAATCTTCTTCAGTTCCTTGTGAACTAGTAAATCAGTTGCTAGAGATAAAGTATACAAAAATAAATGAATGAAAAAGCTATGCTTGAACTCTCGGGTCTCTCTCTTTGTTCCTTTTTGATGCCCATAAAGGCTAACTTTTCCAGCTCATTTTTCTGTACGGTCAAAGTCCATCAGTTCCTCCTCTCTGTTACCTCTTCTTCTCAAGTTGGAAAATTAACATTAATATAGCTTTTTGTGGGTACCCTCTCCATTGTCAGATCATGATCTGAGGAGAGTTGTAGCAAAGACTTGTGAACTAGAGCTGCATTGTCTCTTTCAAAAAAAAAAAAAAACATAAAAAAGGGAAAGTACGTCTGAATTGGTGGCAAATCTGTCTCCACTATTGATTTAGGCAGCAGGTGTGAACTGTAGGACCCCTGGACCCCAACCTAGCTCAGGAACCTTCTAGACACCATGAGTAGGAGGGCGCTATTGAGATCCCACATAACTAGACAGAAGCGGCTTTGAACCACCTCCCTGCAACCTGTAAGGGACACGATCACGGGTATGAACTTAGCCAAGACAAAGAAGCGCCTGCTGACGAGTGCGACGGGGCGAAAAACAGAACGGCGGAGGGGCGCAGTTGTTGTAACTTTTTTTTGTTTTGGGGAAAGCTCGTCCATGTATCTCACTTCCGTTGAGCTGTCGAGCCGTCGCGGGTGCCGGGGGCGTTATCGGCAGAAGAGGGACGGATGCAAGGGGACGCCCCGCAAACCTGCAAATCTGGACTTGTCTTTTCCGGCTCTTTGGAGAGATATCTGCGCGAGTATATACCCAATCTCAGCCCTTCGGTGCTCGCGGATTGCACCGGTCTGCTGCCGATGAGACACAGCCGTGTTGCCTAACCATGGTGGCCCCGGATCCGGCAAGCATCTCGTGTTGCGGTCTTGTTGATCCCCAAGTGAACACCCGGCATGCAACAGGGTAGAGGTCCCTCCTTTGAATGCGGATCTTGGAGACCGCGTTTTTGAATCTCCACTCCCTCCTGTCGTCTCTCGTCTCAACATATATCGCTAGATTCATTGGTGCTCCCTCGGCCTTATCCTCACACACCCAGCCAGTGTTCTTTTTCAGCATGCTCTTCTAGTCGTCCCGCTGGATGACTCGGATAGATAAACGCGATCTAGCCCGGCGAGAGGCAGACCTCAGCCCTCTCAATCGTCTTCCTTACTTCCCACAAGGACGGCCTGCAGTCCGTTCCATGAGATAGCAGACAGCTGGTAACGAGAGCTTGGTTACTTTCGATACGTCTGTCGAGTTCTCAACAATAATAAAAGCCCCGCTTCCTTAACCCCACAAAAGCAACAGAACTGAGACATTTGCTTGCGAGAAAGCACGTACCAGAAAAAGTCCACCATGTTTTCTTAATTTTCATATCCCGTCACGCTTGAAAGTATGGTTACCTATAAGAGCCACCATTGTACGAAAGGCCCCCCCCCCCACAACTCAGCGCGACCGTACAAGAGCTTCTTCAAGTCAGGCCAACGACCTCCTAAAAAAAAAGAAACTTATAAACCTTTCCTACGAGACGCGTGATCCGACGCGCACATAAATATGGAGATTGCTGGTCCATCTCAAGTCCCATGTGAGGGGGGTCGATATGAAGCAGGCACTTCACGGGCCCCGGAAGGCGCGGAGGATCGGAAGCCCTGGGTCGCGGCAAGCCAGACCGATTTTGTGAGCGGGACGGACAGCTCGGACGAGTCGATGGACTGGCTGGATGAGGCGGCGGAAGCCTTCCAACTCTTCCGCCCCACCACTCCCGTCCCCTATCCCGCCCATCCCAACCTGTCCGAATACCAGTTCTCACGGGTGCTCGGGAAGGGCGCCTTCGGCACCGTTTACCTCGCCCGGCGGTACGTCGACCACCATCCTTGCGCTATCAAAGTCATGCTCAAGGCCCACTGCGCTTTCTCCGATCTCTATAAAAGATTGAAGAATGAAGCACATCTCTTGGCCTCTCTTGACAACCCTTTCATCGTCAGAATCGAAGCCGCCTTCCAAAATCAATCTCACCTGTTTATCCAGCTTCAGCTTGCAACAAATGGCACCCTGGAAACTTATGTGCAAGACTATGCAGTCAGTCCTGCTTTTCTTACCTCTCTTTCCCCTACAGATTTCCGTTGACTATCTCCCCTGATATCCCCCCCCCCTTTTTTTTTTAAAAAAAAAGCCCATGAATACATCGAAAGCCCAATTCTACATTTGTCAGATGATATTAGCCCTAGACTATCTGCATGCGAAGGGAATAGTGCATGGGGATGTAAAGCCAGACAACATACTAGTGACGGAGAGGGGTTACCTCAAGCTGACGGATTTCGGGTTCGCACGGCACAGCAGTAGCGCGGATGATAGTAGTGATTCGCAGAGCAGCACCCCGTCCAACAGCGGGGGGTGTTTCGGCACCACTCATTACATGGCGCCGGAGACAGTCCGTGGGGACAACTTCGGCCCTTGGATCGATTGGTGGGCTCTTGGCGTCATCTTCTATCGATCTCTGTTTGCCTGCTACCCTTTTGATGTCGAAAGATATCCTTCACCAAATAGAAAGTACTGCAAACGTGAGCCCCCTTTAATTCTGTAGTTTTCGTTGGAATACTTTCACAGTGTTTGATATTGTAACTCATCCCATTTCCACTCACCATCTTCACGCGACTGACTCTCGATTCCGCGTGCGCCATGTAGACGATTACCTCAAGGTGCGACAGCTGATCAAGGAAGGGCACTATGAGATACCGTTCACGATAGAGCCGCCTGCGCTATCGTTCCTACAAAGACTTTTAGCCTTTTCCATCCTGCGGCGCAACATCACGTGGGGCACGATTGCACGAGAGCACGGGGATTACTTCCAGGGGATCGACTGGAACATGGTGTACCACCGGATGTACAAGCCCCCTTTCGCGCCCCCTCGGCCGCCCTTGGACCCTCATCACAGCCCGGCGGGCCAGGCTATCGACTATGCGGAGAAGTACGCCGACCGGACCATCGCCACCAAGGATATCTATGGCGGCATGTTCAACCACTTCTATTATGACAGAACCCCCTGGCAAGTTTCCAAAGACGGGATGCCGCCCATGCCGATCCCGCCCTCGGATGATGATGAGGAAGATATGAGCATGAGCTTCAACCTTTCACACTGACCCTCCTATCCACTTCTACCTTTCCCCCGCATAACCTCATTTTTCCCTTTGTCATTGGCGCTTCTTAAAGCTTCACCTTGGCAATATAACATTGTAGCCTCTCTCTGCCAGCATGGCGCCTCCCACCATCAAGTCAGTCCCTTGCGAGCCCAGACTGCATTGCGGCCTACTCAAAGCTCGCTGAAAAAAAAACTAGATTTTCCAACTTTGCCTTTAAATAACGAGTACGGTGTGTCTGAAGGTACGGTGTGTCTGAAGGTACGGTGTGTCTGAAGGTACGGTGTGTCTGAAGGTACGGTGTGTCTGAAGACATCCAAGCTAGTACCAAGATCATTGATAACAGACGAGCAGTCTGTTGACGGCGTCTTGTTTTGGTTATGCGGTCCGGAGGAATGAGACACAACTGGTGAGCCAGGAAAACAGAGAGAAATAGAGACAGGGGGGCGGTTGATTTCCAATCCTTTACACAGTAGATAGAGCAGACAGACAGGGATATATATGAGAGCCTCAATCGTCTCCGGTTGGCGAGGGAGAAAAGACTTGGAATGTTCCGTTAGGGAGCACTTGAGCCACGTCGGCGACAGGGTAGAAATTTCCCAAAGGCGAAGAGGTAGGGTCACTCGTCAGTGCGGTTCCAACAGATGGACCGCGGACGACAAGCTACAACAGGAGCCCAAGAAGCGTGAGCTTGATCAGAGCTATAAGATGATATTCAACGAACATGAGGGTCTCAGGGAGAGAGCGGCCTACCTTTCCCTTCCAAGCATCATAATTGATCAGCGAAGGCTCAGGAACGTCGACGATCTTGCACTCCACATTGACACCCGGAGGCCCACATTGAATCATTGTATGCTTTGTCGGCCGATG